CAGCTCTGGAAACCACGGTCTGGATTTCCAGAGGAGGACTGGGCATCAGCTCTCCCGGACCCACTCGATAACCTGGGGTATCACTGAGATAGAGGGAAATTAATAAAGGGGGCGGATGGGCCGACGATGGGTCAACGCATCCCTGCTTTTCAAGAAGAACACTGCAATGAATGTTGTTCGTCGAGGCAAAGAGATCGACTTCGGCCTCACCAAACACTTTCCATATCAGGTGCGCCGTCTGAGGGTTCAGGGACCACCCGCCTAGGGGAGTGTTTCCCCATGACAGCATATCCGCACCCATGTTGAGGATGCCTGGGATATGTGCTGCTCTCAGGGAGCTCAGATTGGTTTGTGCCCAAATAAGGATATCTCTCACCAGGGCGCACAGGCTGCCTGACCTAATGCCGCCCTGGCTATTTATGTAAGACACCACAGATGTATTGTCCTCAAAGCAGAAAGCTTTTAGGGCCAGAAAAACTGCTTTAATTTCCAGGCAGTTGATTGCCCTTGTGTAATGCTCCCCAACCTTGGTTGGATGCGTCTGTGAAAACCACCTTCCAAGTGGAAATCACACCTAAACTCACGCCCTTGAGATACCAGTCTTGATACCGTGACTAATAGGCTGCCTAACCGCCACAAGCGGGCTGGCATACGGTGCTTGAGCCAGTACCCTAACCTAACTCTAACCCTAAACCTTGCATTGGGCGCATGCACAGTAGTCCTAAAGAGACCACTGATGATGCAGCTTCCATGAGCCCCAAACGTTGCTGAAACTTTTTTTAGGCGTGAGCCTTCACCCACCCTGAAAGAGGCTGCGAGCTGTTGAATAGAGAGCGCACGCTCTCTGTGAAAGATCACACTCTGGCTGGGATTCAGTTTGCCCTTGAATAGATTGATTCTGAGACTCAGACACTGCAAATGGTTCAGAATCAAATACCTGTGGTGTACCTGTCACGTGACGCGTTTGAGAGCAGCCGTGACTGCACTGTAGCAGTTACTGTTACAGTGTTTAATCTGCAAGCTAGCTAGCCTGCTAAAAACACAACGTTTACATTTAGCTACTGTTCCCCACCAAATCACAAGTACAAGAGAAAAAGTATTTTATGCATTTAATACCCCTGGAACTCAATGGAAGTTTGTTGAAGATGGCATAGTTTGTAGTGTTGTTATAACCAGTAAACTGAAACAACATTCTTTTCAACCTTTTCAAACTGTCTAAATCCATCAACATTCCGTGCATGAGCTACTTTCTGACATTCTAACTGAAAGTGGGTGAATATCAAAATACATAAATTTGGCTCCAAATCTCGTGAAAATTTTAATTTTGACCCCCCTCTACAAAATAGTGGACCACTATTTAATATTTTGTCTTTCATCACTTGTTTATGTTTGTTTCTTTAGAAACAAAAAAAGTTTTTTTTTTTTTCAGAAGTTTCCGCAAATTTGGTGGATTTGACAAGGAATGACCCTATAATAATATATTATAATACCAGTAATAATAATAATATTTCCCATTACAGAATGCTGTCAAACACAGTACATACATTTGAGAGGTTAATACCTACACCTTCCATACAAAGATCTAGAAGTTTCATTAGCAAATGTTTGGAAATGTTTATCAGCTTATCTTATATTTTTGTAGTGTGCACAGAGGTTTGAAGAGCTGAAGACCACAGGCAGTTTCCCTCATGTTGATGAGCAGTGTAACCCACTAACCGGGGCAGTGAGCTCTCCATCAGAACCCTTTTCCACTTACATCAAATCCAATTTATTGGACAATACCGGAGATACGGGGGAACCACAGTCCAATCAGGCCACTCTCTCAGTGTCAGGTGAGTCAGTGAGTGGGGTCTGGACAAAAATGCTCTTTTATTTAGTGCTGGACTCAAAATTTTTGGTGTCCTATCTCACTTGTATGGGACGATTTCATAGATACTGGGTAACAAAAACTCATTAAAAGGGGGTTGTTTTTATGTATTCAGGCCTAGCTGTGATCCCTACTGGTCGAGGAGCTTCTGCAGAGTGTGAGATTGCAGATACTACCACAGAAGGGAATAAAAGGTGAGGCACATTCATACCAATCAGATTGGCCACTGGATGGGCTACAACAGCAGAAGACCCCACTGGGTACCACTCATCTCCACTACAAATAGGGAAAAGAGGCTACAATTGGCAAGTGCTCACCAAAAAAATTGGTTTCTTGAACATGACAACGAGTTCACTGTACTAAAATGGCCCCCTCAGTCACCAGATCTCAACCCAAAAGAGCATCTTTGGGATTTGGTGGAACGGGAGTTTCATATTGCCCTGGATGTGCATCCCACAAATCTCCATCAACTGCAAGATGCTATCCTATCAATATGGGCCAACTTTTCTAAAGAATGCTTTCAGCACCTTGTTGAATCAATGATGAATCCAACAAAGTTGAATTTTTTAGCATCATTTCTCCAGCCTTCAGTGTCACATGATCCTTCAGAAACCATTCTAGTATGCTGTATTTTTCATAAATATAAGACTTTTCACACTCGTTTTTCACAATTGGAGCTCTATTGCATAAACTGACACGAGATGTCAAGCTCCTAAAAAGGACAGATACTATAACCACAAGAAAGCCACCACAAAAACAGTCCACATTCTGACCAGTCTAGAGACCATACCAGAGCATTGTGTTATATGGACTGAACTTTACGTGATGTTAAACAGTCCCTGTATGGAAAAAAGATGTGCACCAGGAAAGACTAATTATAATGTAAAGAAGTATGCCAGTCATGCATTAATGTTAATGATAAACATTTCAATAAAAAATAAATAAACAAATAGCATTTATATTTCTGTAAAAATAGCATTTCTGTTAGTTAGTGGTGTTAAAATTACTCTGTGCATAACGAGCGTGTTGCGGACCGGGTGTGATGAGCTACTTTGTGCAAGAAGGTCCAGGGCCACCAATGAATCATCTACTAATAATGCCCCTGTATATGTTCACTAAATGCGGTTTTCTTTTCCTTTCACACAGCCCCAATATGGTAATCCACGTTTGCGATGAGGCAAAGAACCTGAAGCAGGACTTTGTGTGTCCAAGAAACCTTCTGGTGAAAGAGATGCGATACTTTGAAGAGTATCTTTCTGTGGACCCACAGCGCTGGGACGAGGTAGACATTTCTGTCCACTGTGATGTCCAGATATTTGACTGGCTCATGAACTACATCAAGAGTCACAACACTGAACATTCGCACGGAAAACACGTGGACAAACCCAGGCTGGGTAATTGTCTTTTTGGAACTGTTTCAGAAGTTCTGTGTGTGTGTTTACTTTTGTGTTTTATTTGACTTTTATTTCTATAATCAAAGATGCCATCAGAGGTGTTGTGTAATGTGTGTTCTATGACCTGGCTGAATGGTGTTTGACGTGGTTGTAAACAGTTATGCATTGGCTGTGAGTTTGACGTTTTGCTGTTTGTGATGTTGTCGGTTATGTTATTGTGGTGTTTGGTTGCAGAGCACAGCAATGTCATCTCAATCCTGATCTCCTCCGAGTTCTTGAAGATGGAAACTTTAGTAAGTGTTGTGAGGGGTGACAATGTTTTGGGTAATGTAGTAAGTGTGCTCTGAGCTGAGTGACCTTTAGGTTGTAGTGGACACTTTAAAGAGCATGATGCATGATGGCTGTTTCATCATTTGTGTTGTTCTTCTGGAAAACTGTGCACTGCCCAAACGAGCGCTAATGAGACACAATATTTTCAGGAAAGACTTGGTGAATCTTGATTATTGTATGTGCTTGTAGCGAATTATCTATAGTTAAATTTAGCTTTTATTTAAACCTTGTCTGAGCAGTGTGCAGAAAGCATGTTTGGTTGATTTTCTTTATTTATTCATCCATTTGATAAATGGGCTTCAGGTGTTTGATTATCGTGTGTGTTTTGTGGATCTGAAGGTTGAGGAGTGTATCCAGTATTGTCACAAACATATGAATGCCATCATAGCAACACCGTGCAATATGAACTGCATCAACAACAACCTGGCTGGACGCATCGCTGATCTCTTCAGCCACAATGAGGCAGATGACCTCAAGGACAAAAAAGATAAATTCAAAAGGTGAGAGCAAACATACACAGGACAAAATTGGAGTTACTCCAAAGAGCTGGATATTTATTAGCTTTAACATTTAAATATTTTACATGTAAACACTATATTCAGTTGTCGCTCTTGTCTTTATTCTATATTTAACATGTAATAATAATACATGAATACCATTTTAAGATTTCAATATAAATGTAAATATATACTTAATATCATTATATAATATGCACAAATTGATTTTAATTCTATACTCTGTATATACTGTTCACCGTTCAAAAAGTTTAGAGTTAGTTTTTGAAAGAAGTCTCTTATGTTTGCCAAGGGTACATTTATATGATAAAATAAATCATGAACTTTCAGAAATCAGTCTAATATGCTGATTAACTGCTCAAGATACATTTCTTATTATCTGTTGAATAAAAAATAATAATAAAAAAAACTTTTGAAACATTACAAATATCTTTATCTTTGTTGCCTTTAACAAATTTAATTTGTACTTGCTTAATAAAAACATTACTTTAAAAAACACTGACCCCAAAACTGTAGTGTACAGATAATATAATGTTGTTAATACAATACATAATGTTCATACAAAATATTTTGTTATTGATTTGTATTTTATTTGTGATGATTTGTACTTTCTCACCAGTAAACTGTTTCAGAAAAAGATTGAGAGATTATTTGATCATGGTTATCAGAATCACGATTCCCCTGGTAATGCATCTACTCTGTACAGGTGAGAAACTTTTGCATTCCTGTGCAAGCTGTAATGATGATAATATCATAATGTAATATTGTATAGATGTGTACTGGTACATTACAAATTATTCTTCTGGCGCAATTAAGTGGATTTCAGTGTAATAATTTCATGTTGTGATTCTTTCCCCAGATGTAGTCTTTGCCTTAAGCTTCTAACCAAAGAAACTGAAAGAAAAATCCCTTGTGTTCCAAACAAAATCAACATCGATGCCCGGGGAAACATTATATTCACTCACACCAGGTTAAATGAGGCACTCTGTATTTCTATCACATACACAGCAAATGTATTTAACTTTCATTGAAATCTTCGATTCCAAATGCTGATATTCCAGTCTTATACTTACACATATGCAATGACATGTTGGTAATTGTGCTGTGTCTGTGTAGACATAAGGCCTGGGAGGTACATGAGTATTTGAATGGGCTTTATGAAGAGTTGAAGTCCTGGGTACTGGTTTACTGGAGGATCTGGGGCACCATCAATTTCCTTGCCTGCTCACGCTGCAAACAGGTAAAACAAATATGCACTTCACGATTCACAAATCATAGTTTAAGATTTTAATACAGTGTGTATATGTAGATAAACATAGATATTGATTGGTTACTAATTGAATAAGTTGTTTGGCTTACGGCAGGAATTCCTGTGTACGGAGTTGGGCCAGTGTAAATACCACCCAGAGGCGGTTGTGTATCCTGGCATTGGGGCAGATCATAGATGGCACGGCATTGGTCTTTACCCCTGTTGCAACCAGAAGGTCCTACGATTTGATCCCTCCTCCATGCCCAAGGTTTGTGTTGTTGCTTTAGAATCCGTTCTCTTAAACTCAGATGACCTTTGAACCCGTCTCACTTGGCGAATGCCTGTGTATGCTTTGGTGCAGGGCTGTAAAATAAGAGACCACATTGTAAGTGCGGTAGATGGTGGTGACTGCGGCGATCACATTGTAAACTCAACCCAGACCAGAATACTCAATGACCTGCTGCTCCACAGAGAGGCTGTGTGTGTGCCCGATAGGTCAGACTATAGTAACTTCCTTCAGAAAAAAAACTATTAGACTATCTGCATGCCATATTAGATTTGTTTCCTTTGTATAGTGTTGTGTTCAGGTCTTTTGACTGATGTTTTAAGATCTAATCCATCTTTTTGTTTTGCTGTAGCTCTGAGGACCCTTCCACAGCCATTGAACAAGTGCCAGGATATGATGCAACACTGGAGCCAGGGATGCTTACAGCTCAAAGACCCAAGGAAACAACAGCTGTGAGTCTATCACATTTTTCTATCATCTTTGTATTTATTCATTTTTGGTCTTTTATTTTTCTTCTTTTTTTTCTTTTTTATTTATGCAACCATCAGCAACATCCAATCACAGATTAACACAAGACAATACTGCACTGCACAAATACAGACAGACAAAAATACAAAAAATGTATACAGTATATCAAAGGAAAAAAAATAAATCATAGTCATTATTACATGCATGATATTTTTACATAACTGGAGAATTTATCTTCTTTTTAACATATTTCCTCTTTATATTATGGAAACCAATTTTTACCCCAGAGTACAAAAATAAAATGATTGTGAGATAGTTTAAAATAGGAAATAAAGCCACATTCTAAGATAGTTGCAATTGGAAGGAGTAAAGTTGCAAGAACTACATGTGCAATTGTGAGACAACGTTTAAATTAATACAAATAAATTTAGATATGAAGTTGCATAATGACAAATTCACATTGTAAATACAGTTACGAGAAATACATTCACATTTGTGAGATAATCGCATTATTACATATAAAGCCATAAACATTAAGTTAATTAATTGTGAGATATAAAGTGAGAGTTCTTTTTTTATTTATGTTTTTGGTGGAGGAATCTGGCTTTCATTTATTGTGATATATGCATCAGTTTATTGTTGACAATCTCAAATTATGACAGCACCATTCCCTTCTCTTCTGTTGCAGTTTTCACTCTTAAAAAACTGGAGTCTTCAGCTGGTAAGAAGCAAATTCCTCAAATAGTTAACGTAACACCATTCCTACGGTACACGCCTACAACGAAAATGACACATCTCACATGTTCATATATCCTTTTGCAGCGGCAGCAGTCTCTGCTGTCTGAAGATGAGGAGTACACTACAGGGTCAGAGGTCACAGAGGATGAGGTCGGGGATGAAGAAGAGACTTCAAAAAAACAAGGTGAGCTAAAATGTTACCCATCTGTGAGAAAATCATCAGATGATCTTTAGTCAGTACCTCATTGCGGTCAGAAGATGGCAGTCCCATACAATTTTCAGGATTCTGACAGATTTCTTTTTGTACACAGCTGCAAAGAAGGCAAGAAAATCTGGCAAACCTTTGAAAAGACAGGTGTCCTCCCCGAATTTTCAGCGCAAGGAAAAATCGGGAGAAAAGGTGAATCCAACACATTGATTTGCAAATTTATTGGTGCTGGATTTTTCTAAGCTTTTACATAGGAATCACCCGCATTTTCTTCAGAAAATATGAATGTCTGGTTTATTTGTTGTGTATGCCACTTTTCTCTTTCCATTCTATCCTGTTCCTTCAAAGGCACCATCTCGAGACTCAACCCCGTTCACGTGAGTGATTCCAAAGACTTCTGTTTAAACGCTTTATTGATATGCTTACTCATGCCATATGATTGAGAAGGAATTTTTAGGCCTCTGAATAATACATTATTTCGCTCTTAGTGTCAGCATCCAGAAGAATAAGTGGGATAGCAATCGTTCCATGAGGTACAATCAGGACGCACAGAGGGAGGAGGGTAGGAATCTTTTTCAGATGCTCTGACTATAATAAAGATCCTCACAAATGTACAGTGGTAGAGCCAGTCTTATAAAAGTCTTATCGTGACTTAAAACCTCTTGAAAACCCCTTGAAAATCTGCCAGCTCTTCAGAAAAATTTTTTTTGTTTTATAAACACTTTTGTATTCTAAATAGGATTAAAACTGTAAGCTAACCATTATTAAATGATTTTTTTTTATGGTAATTAATCAATGGTATTAAATATCTTATGGACAATTTTAGCTGTGCTTCTAACACTAAAGGTATCATGAGCTTATGTGTAGATTTGTAATGATCTTGATGGATGTCTATACGTCCAAATTCTTTCTAGATCAGAGGAGAATGGAGGAGATTATAGCAAATCTCACTAAAATGCGCTTCGGTGACCTGGAGCAGACGAAGCTTAAAGACACAAAAGAGGTACAAAACATCTTTACTCCCTTTAGATAAACCAGCTAAAGGCGCTTTAAGACTGTGATTGTACGTTTTGATTTGTTGCTATGTCATTACCATCTTTTTGAGCAGTATTCCAGCATTGTATTCTAGTATTTTGCACCCATGTGTGTTTGTGTGCTTGCAGCCTGCAGGGGGGCTCTACCCGAGACTGGAGGCCCAGTTTAAGGCCTCCCCACAGTCCAGCGGAAGACACAGCAGCTCAGAGAAAACTCTAAGGTACCGCAGTCACCTCAAGCACTGAAGACACAGTGCAGGCAGGCCACAAGTGAAAGAGTATTAAATTATAATTCATGATATTAATCATGAGATTTGGAGGGATTAGGAACATGTTTGTTGTGGGGCACTAACTAAACTGACTTGTCTGCTCTTGTCAGGCACATTTATAGGGATAGTTCAATATGAGGGTGTTATGGTGGTAAATGATGGCAGAACTATCCCTTTAAAATACTTTTATGAAAGAGCCAACACCACTGTTTATATAATATTGCTTTACTTTTTTATTCGATTTACTTGTGTGTGGCTTTACCTTTTTTCTTACTCACTTACTCCTTTTTCTCTCAGTTCTATTTTTAACCAGCACTTTGGTCTTTTTTTAGAGCAAAGACGCGCTCGGGGCCGTCAAGACCGACTTAGAGGAAATATGGAGATAAGTGGATGAGTTTTTAAAAACGAGGATTAAAAGAGTTTGCTGCTGTTTGACGAGGCAGAAGAAACCATCGCTCTCTTCATCCATCCTTTGCGCCACACCTCACCCCCACCCTCCTTCCGAACTCTGTCCTGACACAGCAGGAATAGTCTTTTCCGTTACAATCCCAGGAGAAGAATGGATTGCTGGTGTGGTCTCTGATGTCATAATTGTAGCTATAGAGCATAAACAATGGACCTAATTAAACCTTCTGTTGCACTGTAAACAATTTAAGCTTTTGGCTGCTATTGAATTGTTTGCACCCACTAAAGAAATTGTATGCATTACCATTTCAGTTTATTTAGCATCTTTGGCTTTATTTTATCTCATCTCTAGCTCAGGATTCATTCCAGCCGCAGTGAGTTGCTTCATTTTAGCCGACTCAGGTGACCAGACAAAGCTCATCTCCGTGGTACTGACCCTGCACTTTAAGCCGTCTTAATGCAATGACTCAAACCTGTATAATACGCAAAGTAGCCACTGGGTAAAGAGTGACGCTGACAACTAATACCTGTGAGGTCCATGATTATGTTGCACTGGAACTGTCACAACTATGCCATTTGGACCAATGTGACATGGGGTAGAGTACAGAATCAATAGAATAAATCATTTAAAATAAACCCGTGTCTCTCTCTCTTTTTTTTACTATGGCAGAATTGTTTTAAATTACAAGTTACGAGTAATTTCCTGAGAAATGCATGTATGTAAATACACAGTCCTATTTTAAACAATGACTTCATGCATTGTCTTGTTTAAAAAAACCGCAACAGGAAGGGGAAGTAGAACGTTCTGCATGTGTGGACAGAGGCGGGGGAGATTTGATGAGCTGGTCTGCCTTTTTTGGTGACAGGCGATGTTTGATTGAGCTCAGGCAGGTTGGGTTACAGTACTGGGCCGCTTGCCAGCCAAGAACACAAATGATCATGTGTTAATTCCCTCTTTACTGGTAGGAACCAGATCCATCACAACCCCCACAATTCAATTCATCGGATCTCTCTCTCTCTCTACTCTGAAAAGCTGACTTTTTTCTTTTCCATTACAAATTGTTACACTTTGAGTGAGAAGAATAACTAATCTCATCACAAATTATTATTTTTAATTAATTTTATTTCATAATGTTAATTCTGCAATTTTAACACATTTGTTTACAAGTTTAAATTAGATTTAGATGTGTCATTCAGATTTTAAATGAACTTTCATGTCAATGGAAAAAGTCACGCTGTAATAAAAATTCTACAGGTGACAGGGATCTGACAGTTCCCAGTTGCCTGTCTTTTTTAGTTATAAGGAGCAGAAAGAGCAGCGATTCTTGGTAAAGGTGGACGGACAGTAGCTGCCCTCAGTACTTGGTCAAAGGTCACATCCTGATCATTCAATGGTCTTTTGTCTATTGTTACTTGCAGCAAATGCTTTGTTGGCATTGTGCATTTGTTTAGAAAGACATTTCTGGATTTGTTTGCTTTCAAGAATGACAGTATTACGATACTGCAACAACAATCTTAATTAATGTTACTTAATTAATGTATAAATATTTCTATATTTAACATAATCCACTATTTACATCTCACTTCACCTAAAATACACTAGCCTATAAAATATACAAGTGTATATTTCATTAAATCTAATTTACTTCCCATATCGCATTGCTCCTATTAGCTGCTGAAACTATAAATATCGCAACACTGGTTAGCCTCAATGTCATTTCTAGATCAAGGGAAAATGATGAATTACTTCTGTTTTGGGTTGTTGTATCGTCGCTAGAGGGAGCTGTTTGCATCTAGACCTTCTCTTATTGAAGCCAAACTTCCTGTGCAGCAAGGACTCCCTCATTGTCTGTGTTGTTGTCATGAAGTTCACTTCTCTCAGGAAGGACAGAGCTATTTATAGTGACCACCATTATGAAGAGACTCCTGCAAAAAACCTGAGCTAGAAATACAAAACAAATAGCTTATAATGCTTTATTATGTCATGCACAATTTAATTAAGCCAGAGTATAATTATAAATAACCTCAAAATCATAATAGTAATGTAAATCTTTTGTGATGCTTCATGATGTTATGCATGCTGATTTTGTAGTGAAACATTTTTCAATAATAATAATAAAAAAGCACTTATAAATGACCACTGTACTGAGAAAATATATAAAACACCCTAAAGAAGACAACTGTCAAACTTGTTTGAGTGACATGGGAGGAGCAGGTGATGTCATTATAATGTATGTAAATGAACAGGCAGGACCAGACAGAACGGGCTTAAACCAGCCCAATCCTGAGCAGAGCACTTCATTTCACATGTATGTGCCACAATGCACGTGCACCTCCAACTACTTACTTCAGCAAGATGACCTCTTTCAGTCATCATGCCCCTGACCCTGTTAACTTTCAGACCTACTCATGTTGCTGATTGATGACATACTTTAATAGAGGAAAGGTTTTCAGATCAAACACTGACAAAATGACAAAAACGCATTCGGTCCTTTCGTACATATGCATGATCTTGGTGACCTGTCCTGCAATGAACTAAACCAGACATCCAGAAGAGTTTCAATGGTTTATTGTATTTTTCAAAATAATTCTAAACAGCTGAGACAACAAAGAAAGGAAGCATGGCGAGGAACATCAGACATTTCTTATTTCTAAAATAAAAGCACATTTGCTGACTTCAAATCAGTTACAATGTTTTAAAATGTTTCAACTCAACGTGCACAAATATGTCTCTTAAATGATGATCTGAGAAACAAAAAGTTTTTACAAAACAGAAACATAACATGACATGACAACAAATCCAGTATTATTCTGCTCATACTGGTCAGCTGACAAACTAACAATTTATAATCTAAAAAAATTGAAAACACACCCACTAAATCATTAATTACTAATAGATTTATTATGAAACCTGCAGTAAAGAATTCAACATTGATCTTATTGATATTTAAAAAGTGGAACATCAGTCTAGGGGTTCAAACTAAGAATTTTGCCTGTGATGCTGTAAAGCATGTTGACTTGTTTCTAGAAACTTCTCTATTGGCACTTTCACATACAATTCATTTACACCACATCACACTTATCTCTGCTTCCAAAGTTTACAGCAGCAAATGACTTATTACATGTTTACAAAGATAAAAGAGGAGTGAATATGAATCTGAGCCACACAACATCAGCTGATTATCAAATGATGACAGGATCCATTAAAAGCACAAAACGAAGACCAGCTGCCATTGGACTAAGGTTCACCTTCACTAGAAGTGCGATCAGTTTGTTGGTTAAGGCTGAGCATATAATTTACCAAACTACTGGCCCTAAACTGCTTATTTAGTTAACCATTTTAAAGGTGTGTAAAATCTTCCAAATGCAGCTAAAGAAAAACACTTTATCAGTTATTCAACATGTATAAAAGTGCAGTCGTGACCTTGTAAAATGTTTGTCAAATGATTGCTAGACTAAAGGAGAACGTATTCTTTTTCTCATTCTTTGTTCACAACAGACACTACAGTAGTTTTGCACGCAAAATCCAGTATTTTTCCATCAACTGACGTTTAAGTGGCGTTGCGTCACGTGATTTGGAGGGAAGGGGGAAACATGCAAGCATTTGACGTCCCTTTAAAGCAGCACACGGACAGTTTGTTATTATGTTTTCGGGTGATTCGATGCTTTTATAATACATTACTGCCACATTGGAGTTAATATCTCGGTAGTTAAGTTTATAGAGACCATCACAAGCCAATTGTATCAGGCTCTGACTCATGCCATGCGTTTCATACCCTGAACAACCACTCCCCTTCGAGGCTCTGGCTCGTGGAAAATTACCAGCTTACAATCAGCACAAGTACAAGCTCTAACATCCGCCTCACGGACTCGATGCCCTCGATCTCCTTCAGTCCACCGTGAAATTAATTTTTCCGAACATGTATAACGTTACAATTACCAAGCGGCCACTGTTGTTAAATATAAACAAGTGGACCATTTAAAGCTCAAGAAGAGTATAAACGCGAGTGTTTTTAGTTTGAAGTCGCGCGACAAAGCTTAAATAAAGCAACAAATAATACACTACCGTAATATTATCGCAATTTACAAATCCACTCAGCACGCAGTTTGCCTTCTTTTTCTCCAAAAGGGCGGTGCATTCGCGTGGGCGGCCAATAGAGTTTAGATTGATTGACGTGCACGCTGTCCAATGGATCGTGAGCAAGGACGTGGTTAGGAACGCTGCGGCCAATAGCACACCCCCATGGGCGTGACGTTAATCCAAACTTTTCGCGGCGCCATCGGCTGAAAACTAAACCGAGATGGAATCTCCCAGTCTGAACCGGTTTCAACCGGTTACGAGTTTGTTGCTTGTGAGAAGAAGAGGCACAGGCTCAGTCTCTAATACCGCCCTAGTGCAAAATATACTTCAGTACAGAGCACATTTCTGAATTAAGCTTAACTTTGTTTCGTAAAATGAATCGTACTGAGAAAATACTCATCTCGCCGTGATTGTTGGTGCGGAAATCACATCCTAGTGGTCCTTATATCAAGCAAGTAGCTCGTGTAGTCTTCACAGAGGAATAAGTGTGACTGGCCAGTCAACGGCTCATCCTAAAGCTTTTTTGCCAGAAAGCTGTACAAACAGGCACCAACGATACTGGATAAATTAAACATAATTGTAGCAACTCTGGCAGACAAGCCCACCTTCTTTCTCTCAAAGGCTTGGACTTTAGGTAGGTAAATATGGGGTAAAAACTTATAGCTAGTGTTTGGGTTGGTCTGTGGAGAATGATGATGCTGTGAGATTGTGTATCGTTAGAAATGCAAAGAAATTGTACGTATGGAGGTTAAGGTCGAAAGAAAGTGAAATGGCTTTGCTCAGGGTTTATGAGGGATGTTGCGGGTGTGTGTTGCGTGATGGTTCGTGTTCAGCACTGGTGTCACGCTGGTCTGGATAATGTATCTGGGTTTTCTTTTTAGCAATTTTTATATCTCACTTAACATAAAAAAAAACAATCACGAATTCACAATGCTACTAAGTGCTATCCGTAAGCATAGGCCAGGGTATCGTGACATAGCGATCAAAATTCAATTGTAAAATCATGTAACGTTATGCAGAATCATTCTAAAGTTGTAGAATTCATTTAAATAATTAACGGCATGTAAAAATACACAATTTTATTTCTTACCTGATTTACTGCAAGTAAGCCTGCAGAGCTTTCAGGTGTAACGTTAGGGTGTAGGGAGCAGAGCAAGGGATTGGTGGGAGGGCTTGCACCGGAGTCAGGAAGGGAGATCATTGCTAAGTCACCCCGTCACCCCCGTAGAAGTCATTTCTAGATGGCGTAGACCGTTAGAAACATCGGTGTTTGATAATATAGACGAGTCGTTCGCTGGAACGTTTTAAACGTCAGTTGCGTTGTCCATTTAAGCCTATTCTCATGACAGCATGCATGCGTGATTGTTGCCAAAGCATGGAACGCGATGGGGCTTTTAACGCTTAAACGTGACTAAACAACCACTGTAGAGAATAAAAAACAGCTTTCGCATCAGTATTGCAAGTTGTGCTCATTGCTGTGGATCTTAGTCTAACTTAGTTGTGTTTTGAAGACGTGTGCATGCATGAAATCAGCTGATAAGTAGCTCTGTGTTGGAAGACAGATCCTATTGTAGGAGTTGTAACGTTACTTGCTTACTGAATGAAATATGGTGTGGATAAGGCGGGTAAATCAACAGGTTGCGCAGTAACGAGCAGTAGTTATGGCACCATCACTTTATTTAGGCCTGAAAGACTCACAAAGCTCGACTGTGTCGTGTCGTCCAACAAGCAAATTCTCGAAATTTCCTTTTTATTTTTTTATTCTTGGCCGTAATGCTTATATCGTTACGCAATAGTTTGCCTCCGGGGTTCACATTGAATTAGCTTTAGCATTGGTTATTCTCATTCAGTTGTCCTTCAACTGTGTGCACATTCTTAAAGTCTCGTGGTCTCATGGAAGCTCGATCAGAGTAGGGAAAACAGTTTGTAATTCAGAACGCCTCTTGTGTTATATGTAAACAGAATGACGTCAGCGAAAGGGCTGCCTAGCACGTGGTCTCATTCAGAGAATAATGGCTCGTGTGATCACTTGCCTAGTGAGTGGCCCTTGTTCTTCGGACATATCAGCATGTGCAGACTGCAAGCATGTTACCTTTATCGCGCCACCCACCCACCTATCCCATTGTAATTGAGGTTTGATCCCTCCAGCAGGCATTGGTGTGTTTCCATTGGCAGGCCAGGTCATATAAGGCTTTTTGGATAGTCCTGGGTCGAGGGAGGGGGGTGACGGTCAGCTGTTTGGATTTGTGTACCCAAATCTTCATTTCACATGACTTTGCCCCTGCTGGATGTTTCCTCCCTGTGCCCCACAGAGCTCTATGCCAGCAATTATGACAATGTTAGCAGACCATGCAGCCAGACAGCTGCTGGACTTTAACCAGAAACTGGATATCAACCTGCTGGATAATGTGGTCAACTGCCTGTACCATGGGGTCGGGCCACAGGTAAGGAAGACCATTTCACAAACCGGTGAAACATAGTACCAAATGTAAGTATACGTGTGTAAATATATAAATATATATATATATATATATATATATATATAAATAAATTTATTTATTTATATGTGTGTGTGTGTGTGTGTGTGTCTAAGAAATAAACTGCATTAGATGCATTGAAATATTATTCTTTAGAACTTTCTATTCAAAGAGTCCTGAAAAAACGTTCACAGTTCCCGCAACATGGTTTTCAACATTTATAATAATAAGAAATGTTTCTTGAGCACCAAATCAGCATATTAGGATGATTTCTAAAGTACCATGTGCCGTTGGAGACTGCTGTAATGATGCTGAAAATGTAATCTTCCCATCACAGGAATAAATTACATTTTACAACATGTTACGTTAAATTTAGGGCTGTCAAGTGATTACAATTTTTAATCCAATTATTTACAGGATATGCCGATTAATAAATCGAATTAATCGTACATTAAGTTTGGCTGAGAAATTACCCCCAAAAGATAATTTAAAGTCATCATTGTGTTCAATGAGAAAAGCATCAAATAGAGATTAAAAAAAGTAGCTTTACAATGAAATATATTATTTATTACATAGAATACATAGAATTTATTACATAAATGTTTAGGATTGCCATGATTTTTGTTTTCAGGAGCTGCATCTGAATTGGTTTTTAAAATTTATTTTAGAGATAGGGATTTTGTCCAAATAATTTTTTTAATCAAATAAATGCTGCCTTTGTGAAGTTGTCTTTCAAAAGAATTAATCATATTTGTGTGTATAAATACACATTCTGACATCATTATATATATTGTCCACAGTTTTGTTGTTTTTGTTTTATAGTGTAAGTTAAGACAAGTGTTTCTCTATTTCAGCAAAGAATGGCCCAGGAGGTGCTGACTCATTTGAAGGAGCACCCAGACGCGTGGACACGAGTTGACACCATTCTAGAGTTCTCTCAGAATATGAACACCAAAGTAAGCCAAGTCCCAACTTACTCTGGTGGAGGGTCATGGTTTCTATACTTTGAGGAAGATCTGATCTCTTATCACATATTATACTGGAACACAATTTGGTTTTCTTTTCCTTCAAACCAGAACGATTGCCTTATATCAGCAAATACCCATTTTCTGATGTGTATTGGGGTTGCTTAGCATCATGTCAGAAACAGATTCCTCTGTACACATTTGAGATCACATTTTCCTACACCTCTCCTCACAGTCCTGTCTTGGTCAAGCTAAGTCAGAGTTAAAGTTGGTGTGTGAGGATCCTCTGTTGACAGTGAAATACCTCAGTACTACCTTCAACTGTACAGTAGCCAGAGGTGTGTTAATGACTGACTGTTTGAGGTCAGGATATATAAAGCACCTGATCCATGTGATCCAAGTTCTGAGCCATGGATTTTTATTTTGATATTGATGATGAAAGCAGAGGATCCATGTAGTGTAGAATTTCTGGAAGCCTGAAACAGAATTTCTGCTCTGATAAACTACACACTCCCAGAGTTCATAACATTTGTTCACTTTGTAGTGCGTAGACTGAATGTAAATAATTTAGTGAATAGTGTAGTATTTGGGATGAATTGTCTTCCTCAGTGTGTTAATAGACTTCCTCAAAGTACTGCTGACCCAGTTTGCCGTCTGCTTGCCTTTTAAGATTGCTCTTAACACTCTGGTCATTACTAATGTTTGAGTTGATTTATCAACAGTATCTGTAATATCAAAATGATAATGGTCCAAAAGTGAGGGCTCTAGAAGAACAGACAGGAAAAAATGCAGAGCAGGTAAATTCTTTGAATTTGTCTAAATTCATCAAGCAAAATACAGACAGAGCGCATTTAAAGTGCTTTTTGAACGTTTGGCTTTTTGCTTAATTTATTTACAGCCTTGAAAAAGCAAACAAAAGACAATTAATTGAAGTTGTTCATTTTTGATATTAATCACAATGTTCCATTATGTTGATTGCTTGTAATAGGACGAAAAGGGGTGTGTCTTCCTGTGCACCTTGACACAGCTAGGCTTTGGCGGCAGGCCTCCACAAGGTCTACCTTTTCATTCCCTTACTCTCAATTCTGCTGTGCCTCCATTCACACTGCACATGCCTCATATGGAGCTGAGAGACGGCAGGGAGATAGGCAGGCGGTTTACCCCATTTTGTTTTTACCCCAGTCATGGATGGTAACAGTTGTTTCCACTGTAGGGATCATCAGTGTCTTTGTGTGCTGTGGTTCCCATTTTCTCCCCAAGCATTTGTGACCCGTGCTGGCAAAATGTGTCGTAATGCGCACAAGCTAATTATGAGCTACAGGCAAAACAAGTGAAATGTCAGTTTTGGTTGAATTTGAGGTTTTCACAAAAATTCTTTCAGTAAGCCCTCGACTAGCGATTCCAATGCCACAAATAGTAATGAAGCATCTACAATTATCTTTATTTGTACATTTTCTGAGAGGCTAGGCTACCTTTCAAAATCTTAATAAAATGCAGTTTTTCTCTGCACGCTTCTCGGCGGTTAGTGCTTCTCAAGTTTGGTATCGTTGTAAAGTGCAGCATTCCAACTTTGAAAATATTCATAGCCAATTCTCAGTGGCATGAGTCTGAACCAATGAAATGTGATTCTTAATTTGATCTTACTCTCGCTGACTGGCACATCCGAAGCATGCACACAAAGACGCTTCTCAGACAGCGCGCAATCCCGATATACAGAGAATTAAAGCATTTCAAAATAATTTTTGTGTATTCATGCAATTGCAAACATCTGCTATGTCTTAAATTAACATTTTTTTAACTGTTGGGCAAAAACATCTGATGTGTACTAACGTTAGATCCGTGCATTAAGTATGTCCTAATATATAGGCTGTCTGTCTCATCAATGTTAATCAAACAATGGTATCATGGAAAAAAAAAATGAATATATATATTTTTTCTATAGATATGGGTTTTGACTTGGTGTGTGCCAAATTTGGTGTTATTACCAGGGAGCTTAATGGATGATTGCTAGGTGAATTGTTTTGGAACCTTCTGAAAACTCGATTCTTCTCAAAATTGACTTTGCTGACTTTATCCACCAATTGGTGTAGCACAAATCATCTTTTTTTTGTCTGATTCCAACAAATCATATTTCATTAAAAATATATATATTTTTATAGAGAGAATGTAAAAATAATAACTATTTTTTTTTAAAATTTGTTCATCGTGACTAATTTTGCCATCACGGATCACGTTTCTCCTCTACCCTATTTTGTTTCTCCTCTTGATCATGCACCAAGAAATATAGCAACATCACATGTGGACAATGGGCTATATGCACGCATAAGTTCCGCATTTGACGCAAGGATGCTCGTCCATTTCCGGTTGTGTAGATTAAAGCGGACGAAAACCGGAGAAAACGGGATTATGGCAGAGTCTTCAATATTTACTGTCCTCCCGTCTTTGAAACGAAATTTACATACGTTTAGATGTAATTTTATATATAGTTATGTTTATTTAATATAATTTTAAAAAGAAGCATAAACACAACGAGGGGTGTCTGTTTTATCTGTTTTTGTGACTAACGTTTCATTAGTATAACCATGGAGTATAAAATTCAATATAAATTCTCTGTATTGCATTGGACTCTATGATCGGGGAAGTTATCGAGCATCCTTACACCTTCACCGGCAATAACGCCGTGCATAGAGCCCATAGTGACTAAGCGTCCTGTTGCAATGTTTTTTTTTTTGGCATTGCCCTTTTTCTTTTTCTTTTATATTTATTTTTAAACCTCTTAAAAATTAAAGGTGAAAAGATCCTGGTGATTTGAGAAAATTAAATCTGTCTGTTATGTAACCTACCTCTCCAGGCCTCACCTTTAATACACTCACATAGTGTATGATCTGTATTCCCTGTTTTGCTTTTACACATTACTTTTTTTGCGTCATGTTTTTCCTCTTTCCTCATTAATCCCTACAGTCGAAATGCTGATGATCCAAATAACAATAGTGATCATGACAAGGACACTAATGCACCATGAATACTCTCTTAAAAGCAGCATGGTGGCAGTCTTAAGGCAGTCTATAGACCCAAACCTGTGGCTTGTCTTGCTGTTCCTGAGACCCACACCAGTTATTGGTGGAAACATTAGTGTCACTTTAAAACA